GTGCCCTACACACAGAGCTGGGGGGTAAACAGCCCCTGACAGGAGCTCATCTGGAGAGACATGGGAGAAGAAGCAGTAAATCCCTTTCCATGGGGAGGCAGCCCTTGCTCTACCAGCACAAGGGAATTGCTTCAGCACTGCTCTGGGGCTCAGAATTCAGCTTCAGCTCCCACAGCAGCACAGGATGCTGCTGTCAGCCATCTGTGCAGGTGTATTCCTCTTTCAGATATGAGGAAGGGGACAAGGCTAGTATTTACTGAATTTGGGGAACAAGTTGTCAGCACAGCTGCAGTGCTGAGTGGTTACATGTGCAGGGAAATCCTTCTGCCTCTGGCTGAGATTTGCAGCTTTTGTTCCTTTCTCATTAGGGCCATACTGTTTCCTGCAATGATCTGAAGCGGGAGGCAGCAGCTGAACAACTGCTTTCCTGCTTTGGCTCACTCCAAATCCAGGGACATCCACGTCTTTCTCCTTTTGCACTTTGCATTTACTGATGAGCTGCTCTCATTTGTGATTAACCTAAAACCTCTTGCTAGATGGGGTAGTTTGAATTTGAATAACCATCTGAAATGCAGTCTTCCAAGGGACTGATGCACATGAAAAATATTTTTAGTATGATTGCCCTGGGCGCCTGACTCCTCAAGTTTCCATACCTCTCCACAGTTCTCATTCCTGCAAAAAGCCTAAGAATCAGGTACATTTTTTTCATCTGGAAAATGGCAGACACTGGCCCAGTACCTGACCAGTCTGTGCTGGCTCCTCACTTGAATGAACCTGGTTGTGTAAGTGTTGCTCCTAAGCTCCTCTCTTCCAGCACAGAGCACAGCAGCTTAGCTCCAGTCACTGCAGAACAGCACAAGGAGACCATTCCTCATTGGCATGTCCTTTATCATTTTCCTCTGTGGGCATAGTTCTTAAAAAACTCATTAAACTAGGGGTTTTTACTAATTAGTAGGCAGAAATAGAATTTTCAATTGTTTATTTGTTCTTTTTATTCAAACATGAACGATATCTCTTCCTGAAATTGAGAAGGCCTTAATTTCTACAATTAATTATTATTTTCATTCTTGTTTTGTATTTGTCAAATAAGTAGCTTTGTGGTTTTAATTTCTTCTGACTAACTGTTTTTTTGTTTAAATTTTGGGAATAACCTGTAAGTAAGTCCAAAATGAGATTCCAGAGCTGAAACTGCATTGAATTTCTTGGATAATGCTATACTTGAGAAAAATCTAACCCTTGGCAGGATTTCAGGACTAGATGGACTTTTGGTCTGGCACAGTAGGGTACACAAGTTTTACCTATTCATACAGTAAAATTTCTTGATTAACAGATGAAATTGATTATTTATGTGCTTTGTTCCTCCATAAAAGGGATAGATTTTAACATGAAAGGAGATTACACTTGTTTAAACATCTAGAAAGTCTATGACCCACTGATAAGAACTGAGGAAGCTACTTTTATGAGTTTTAATTTCCATCTCTAGGCAGTAATTCACAATGTCATGTTAAGTGACATTGGATTCAAACTCAGTGAAAATGTGCTCTGTTCAATGGCCTTTGCACTTCAAATCTCATGCATGAAATGGTCTATTGTTACTGGTTTAGAGGGGGAAAAAAATCAAAGGACTCTGGTCAGCAAGTTCTTCCAGGTAAGTGGGAGAAGACAGCTGGAAAGGATACAGGTAGTATAAGATATAATGGTTTCAAACTCAGAATTATTAAATGGGGTCTTGTTTATGAGGTTGTGAGTGGAGATAATTGTAGTTTGATAGCTTTCTAATTTAATATATGAACTGAACTTGGTCTGCTGTGTACTGGCTGTATTTCCCTAAGACCTCACAAACATACAAGCACCTCTTTTCTTTTGTGTGTGCTGTATAACTGTGCAGTGACAGATGAAATGCTAACACTGATGGTGGTGTCTGGAGTCATGGCACCAAGGCATGAGGATGGAGTGGCTCCCCACACAGCTCTAATGGGGGAGGCTACCCCTTCTTGCCTCACTAACTTAGTTCCTGGTGGGACAATAAAATTTGCATGGGGTGGAAATTAAATTAACTCATTTCCCCTGTAAAGCAGGTCCCTTTGTCTCGAGGTTTCCAGACCAGTAATCACAGCTAAGCACCAGGCTGGGCTCTAATCTTGCTCAGTCTGCCACTGTCACAAGTCCTGCGTGCACATGAGAAATTATAGACAAAATTGTTCCTTAAAGAACCTTTTTGCCCCAATCAACATTACCAGTGTATATTCACCTACTTTCCCCCCACCCCCTGTAATTTAGATATTAGCACTTGAGGTAAATTTGCTGAGCTTTTTAATTTTTAATTGTTAATTTTTTTTAATAGTTTTTTCCCCATGTGAATTCTTCAAAAGAATTTGAGTTTTTAAATGTCACAGAAACTGCTGATTTCAGTCTCTCTACTGTTTAGCATGCAATGAGATCCTCCTGCTCCACCACTTAGATCTTTAACTTCCCTAGTACCTTGGGGAGCTGCAGGTGACTGGAGTTTTATTAGTCTCAAAGAGGAAGCTGAGGGGCTGAGCTAGGCAGGGGGGAGCCCAGAGCAGTGTCACTGCCCTCTGTGTCACTGCCTCTGACTCAAAGCTGTGACACACGTGGCTGCCCGTGTTACTCCAAGGCAATTCACGTATCTGATGGCTTCATTCCCGTAGTGCTGCAGTGTCTGTGCTCTGTATTTTCACACAGTATCCAGGAGTGTAAGTGAGGCAGACCAAGGATAGCTGGACTTACTGCTCAGATACAAACTATAAAGTGTTCAGTAATAAATATTTCATATAGCAAATGCCAGCTTGCTACTACTTCTGTATATTTTATGTGAATGAAGACCTGTTTCTAAGGCTAACCAGATTTTCTGCTGCAGACTGCAGAAGACATTAGTAATTTTGTACTATAAAATCTACAGAGCAGCTAATTAGTCAGTTTTTAAACTGAGCATTTAGATCTTTCATGAACAGCACCAGCTTACTGAAAATTTTCTGGAAAGAAAACCCTTCAATGTCAAAGAAATGCAGAGCTGAGCCTAGTGTATAGCTCCACTTCTATTTTTTCTCCATCAGACTAAAATAATGACTCATTATAATAGGTTATTTCCATGTAATTCATGAAATAGTACAGAGTAATTGCCCTCTACAAAGTTTCTAAAGTTTCTACTTTAACAAATGCTTTCTGTAGCAAGTATAACCCAATTTCGTTTAACATTGATCAGGAGCCTCCTAGAGTCAACAAATCAGATAATGAAATACAAGTCCATCTGTTCAGACTGAGTCCCTAGACACAGCCAAGGTTACTGTGTTTTTATTAAACACCTCAAATGGAAGAAACTGAGGTCTAATTTAGTTTAATACAAATATATTGATATAATACAAATATATTTGATATAACTGAGGAAAAAAATTGAGTGAAAATATTGCAAACCATCAGAGAAGAGAAACTGTAATTTTCATCTCACTAAATCAGAGATGATAGCATTTATCCAGGTTGTAGAAGACCCTTTTCACACCTATCTTCTGTATTAATCAGTAGAACAGATCTATTCCACAGTCCCTCACTTCACAGTTGATCAAGTTAATCAGTACACTGTAGAATATTCTGAGATAGGTTTGCCTCATCCTTGTTGGTTGGAACCACCGTACCAAGATAGACAATTACATATTATAAACTCATCACAACCAAGAACAAGAGTGGAAGAACAAGGATGTCTGGTGGAAAGAGGTCCTGAGGAAGTGGTTGACATTAATTCAGTCTCCTTGGAAAAAAGGTTTGCATTTGAGCATCCTGATATTCTGAATTAATTTGCAAGCCTCAGAACTGTCAGTCTAATAGAGATTATAGATCTAGCAGTGACATGTTTTTCTTTCATACCTCACCTGACTTGACAGACTCCACCCAGGTTAACAGGTAGTAGTTGGGAAAAAAGCAAAACCCCAGTTTTATGTCAGTTTGTTCTGTGAAAAAGAAAAAAAAATCCCCCTCTTCTACCAAACTACTAATGCCCAGAAATCCTCTTTTCCATTTCTAGTTTGCAGCTGGTTTATGGGGCCTGCCTTGCCTCTCTGGCATGCTGTGATTCTGGAACTTCTGTCCTGAGATTAGCAGGATGAAAATCGGGCACGGCTGGGCTGCAGGGCACAATGCTCCCATGTTTGTGCCCAGAACTGCTGGTTTATCTGTAAGGCTGCTCTGGGAGGAATTTCACCTTCTCCCAGTCTTGTCTTCCCATTTTCCCTTTCTGTGCTGTATTCCCGACGCCTCTACCTGCAGCTTGCTATTTCCCCCCTCATGGCCACCTGTTTGCACAGCGTTTACCATAGCCAATTCCTGACCCCTGGGCTGCTCAAAATGCCATGAATAAATGTGGCATTGCAGCTTGCCAGGCACTGTTACTGGGAAAAAGTCTGGCTCGCAGAGGTCCGTATGTGTTACCCACTCTATGCACTCCCTTTTACAGACTTTTTATTAATATGGAACTTCCGACTGAATTATAATGGAATTATCATGTATAGTGCTACCATGTACAATGTTGTTTTATAGATCCAACCTGTTTAGACAACACACAAATCACACTGCAACATGCTATGGCAACACCACCATGCAAAACATAGGGGTTTTTGTTTCAAACATTGGGATAGTTTCCTTTGTGGCTGTTTATTTACTTTTAGTGTCCTTTACTGACTTTGTCCCATTGAATCCAAATTTCTTCCTGATTACAGTGGATTCAAAGCATATTACAGGAAGCCTTTACCTATAAGAAAGTAGTTAAAGAATTACTGTTTTGTTTTTAAATGTGAGATATTCCCACAGCCTCACAAAACTTTCACTGCATTTTTTTTTTGGTTTTTTTTGATTACTGAAAAGTATATATGTATTTTTTAAATACTTGAGGCGATACTCTTGAGCCTCATTATAGGGGAGACAGTTTCTGACAACTGCTTCTCCTTCCCTAGGAACCGAAAAAACAAAAACCATGATCTTTGCTGAAAGCTCTCATACTGTTCATTTCAACACACACAGCTCCACTAACCAGGTCACAGAAAAAGCCACTGACGCACACACACACACACAGAGCAGCGTCACCTGCACAATTCAACAGACAATGCAGACAAACTCGAGTATAATCCAAGATCTTTCTACCTCTTTTCATAACAGGTTAGTGCTCGCTCTCAGTGTTGGTGTACAGTTTTTATGGCATGGAAAAATAGGGATGTTTCTGCCCTACAAAAATAAATGCGTTGAATTCTTTAGTTGGAACTTTCACAATGTAAAAGAAAAAAAACTCCCAAAGAAACTGGATAAGTAAAAAGAATCCCAAGTATCATGAAATCAGTGGATCTTCTGGCAGGTGGCAAAAGAATGCCCAGACAAAATCTACCAGCCTTCATTTTTTTTGCCTTTGAGAAATAGCTTTTGAAAGTTATATATTGAAAAGTAAAAAAAAAAAAAAAGTTCTTTTAATCCATTATGAAAATTAATCCGAATCAAACCCTTGCACATAAACAGCATGAATTCTTTGGTCCTGTAGAAGCTGTTAGACATTAAGGAAGATGGGAAAATTATTATTGTTTTTTTTTCCCTGTGCCCAATTGAAAAAACAGGGACAAAGTCTTTTTTAGTAAAATAAAAAGAAGACAGGATGGAAATCCAATGTATTCAACTGTTTTAGACTTAGTATTTGAGAAGGCACCAGAAAAAGAAACAACATCGAGCATGTTTTCACAGATTCTTTACTAAAATTATAGGGGGGAAAAAAGTGACTAATTTCATGCTTCCTAATACAAAAAGCATGGCTCCCAAAGGTCCATTCCTCCATGTGTGAGAGATTGAGATCAGTGGCAAAGGGACTAGGGAGGAGGGGTTGTAATGAAAACACATTATAAAGCTGTCATTCCCAGGAAAACTGACAAGCTGTGATGAATACACTTTTAACCACCAAGTTAGAGAAGCAAAAGGGAAAGTAGGGACCAGTGAGGGGAAGGGAAGAAGGATGTCCCATCAGGCTTACTAGTCTTCCGAGGCAACAAACTTACCACATTGCGTGTGAATTTCTCAAAAGATGTTCGACGATCCAGAGTGTTTTCCAACTTAAATTTGAAAAAATAAAACAAAAAAAAAAAAAAAAGAAAGAAAAAAAAAAAAGAAAAAAAAAAAAAAAGGAGGGGGAAAAGAAAAGCAAGAACAATGGAATAGAAAAGGAGGTTTGATGTAACAATGGACTGCAAAACAAAGTTTGTATAAATCAGGAAGCAAACACAGGTATGAGGCTGTAATGGGACTTGGCAAAACAGGGGATGGGCAAAACAGATACAGTACTAGACAGAAGTAATTTTTCATGGGGATCAAACTGGTTTGAATTTAAAGAAAAACTGAAAGTAAAAAGAAATAATGAAGTGCACATCTTGTGTTAATGAACTGACATTCACAAACTTAAGGACTTCACACGGACAGTTGAAGCTTTCTGGTATTTTCAACATCTCTCTCTATATTGGATCTTCAGAAATCAACGTTTGAACAAAAAACAAAATAACACAGTACTTTCATATAATTTTAGGTTGTCATTATTAACAATAGAATGCTACAAGGTGTTAATAACTACCTTGTTCCAGTAACAATCAGGGCCCCGATTTTGCAAGGCACAGGGCTCTCAGCTGATTCTAGGAGATTACTGTTTAGAGCCCACTAATAGAATTATTTATCATCATGGAAATCTGCATTGTACAGGCTGCTCCACATACTTTGGGCTGTGGCTATTCAGAACCCATTCCATAACTGGACTTTTCTAAGAAAATATTACATACCAGGACATGAACCTCTGTTTGCCAAAGTGTGACATGATCAGTCTTTCAAGTCAGATTCCTAGCCTACTCAAAACTATTCATGTAGTAATAGGGAAAGAAACAAAATTGGGAAGCCCCTATATTTATAGTTGAAGTTAGAAGTTATTCATATGAATAAGATTGTTTCTAAACACATTCTGTAGCTTTCATAGGTGGAATAAAGAGAACAACAATTATTACATAAGCAAACTTGCAAACATGAAAGACTATTCTTCTGGGATTTTATTTTATTTTTTTAATGTATTTGTAAAGCACTTTGCAATTTAAGGTGCTTCATAACAGAGAAAACAGTACAATATGGGATGTAAAAATAAAAATAAGTTTTGCTAGATTAACTTATTGAAACATGCCCGCATGCAGGATATATACACATATATGTATATTGAACTCCTGTGTGTATGTGACCCTCCAAAAACGCCAAGCTGGTCACCTACCAGATATCCAGTTGCACTGGCACAGGGGAGAGAAGACTGAGTATTGTTGCAAACATAACCACTGCTTTGCACAGTGGCAAGACAAAGGCAAGATGGACCAATACCTTTTTCTTGGCCTGTAGCAGCTCCTGGTAGGCACTGGATCGTATAAAACGAGGATAAGAATCACTTTTCATCAGTTTGTAAATGTGCTCCTGAAAAGGAAAGAAGGAGCTGTTACTGCCATAGAAGAGGACACATGTAAAATGGGAGGCAGCCACACATGGAATGTACACCAGCTAGCACTACTATGAATAAGAAGTATTACAGGATAGCAGGTTTCAGCTCTGAAGCTAAGGCTGAATTGCTTTCTATTCTTAAAGCCAAAATCCCACCCATTTCTTATGCATAATTACACAACACACCTTTCTTTAATTTATTGACCAAATTTTCCAGTACAGAATTATTTTCTAAGAATTGATTACTGAGTCCTAGCTTCAGGTCCAACCTCAAACGTCCCTTACATTAGTTAGTTTAGCTAAGTGATGGAACTAAGAGCTGTGGGTCCTTCCTCATCAGATTTTCTGAATTAGTTTCTGGAGATACTCTTGTGATTTCAGAATCTAAGAAGAGGCACTAGGTTTACAATTCAGCATCACAATTAATGCTTAGGTTAGTGAGGATTTCCACTGGCCTCTCTTGACAATATCCTTTGACAGGTGTTTTGTCTGCTCTCCAGTTTACAATACAAAAAGGAAAATACATATGTAAATTGAAAAACAGTTCCAGGCCAATCTAATTGTCAGGATATTAATTTTTCAGAGGCATATGAATATTTGGAAACCTTTATTCAGAAAATAAATAACAAGAGCAACTTAATTTTGGAACGTTCTATTTTCTGAAAAAGATGAAAACCAAAAAATCTGTGATGTACAACACTTGATAATTCTAGTTCTGATGATATGCTAGAGAAAAGATTTGTAGAAAAAGCAGCCAGAACAGAAAATAGTCTCAAAAATATTTTTTTAAAAATCCTGAATCATTAGCTATTTTATCATTAGCTATTTTCATGGACTTTTTGTTTTACTCAGATTCTATTTTTTTCTGTAGTTAACTTGTAGCACAGCAATTGGGAAACAGCAAACAAACTGCAAAGAAAATACTGTTTCTCAGCTTGGTAGTACATAAAATTAGTGAACACAAAAAACCCCAAAACAAACAAAAAACCCGAAACAAAACTCCCCACCTTGTCTGAAAATTAAGGCAAGGTAAAATTAGAACTGATGTTTAATTTTTGCTGTATTAGAAACCATAAAAATTATTCCAAATGTCTTTGTATTTCTTACAGTAAGCAGAGAAATTCTGATGTATATTCAGAACTTAGACTGGTTTATTTGGGGAAGGTTTTTTTTCACTCAGTGTCTGTGAAAGCAGACAATGCAGTCAACAGAGAGCAAAAAGTGGAGATGAGAATTAAAATTTTATTTCTGTACAAGAAATGTGACTGTAAAAGCAAGAATAAATTGGGCTGTATTAGTATTGTGAATTGTACATGTTAGCCAGGGACATTAATGCACATATTTAGCACAATCGGGCTACTTATGTGTCCCATTTTACTCATGCATCTACAATTGACATGGAGTTTCATCTTTCTATATTTCCAGTACAGAAATGGTTTTCATACATTTTTAACCACAAATAAATGACCCACCAACTGCCAGAATGGCACACCAGTGGTCTCCTTCCCAGCTGGCAGGCCAAAAAAAGCCTGTTGCAGAAGCAAAGCCCTACTCCTGACAAAGTCCTCCACCTCAGATGGGACACTTTAAAGCTCCTAAAGCTTCAAGAAGCAGCAGGTGCAGCCTGTCCCTTTTCCAGAGAAATTGAGGCTTCCAGATTTAAGGTTTTGTGCTGAACTGGATGAAGTAAGCAGAGGTCCTCCCCAGGTGCTTGCATATATACTGAATACTCTGTGTCTTTCACAAATGAAGGACAAAATTACAAGAGAGATCTGAAAGTAAAAGGGTATTGAAATTTTATACTTATTACAAAAAAAAAAAAAAAATTTATCCTGGCAAGGAATTTAAATGTCAATTACTCACTCAACTGCAAAGACACATTTTTAAAAACCTTTAAACTTGCTCTATTGTTTGCTTTTGCTTTTTATGTCTTTGCTGTACACTGCATTCTTAAATGTCCAGAGGTCAGCAGATGCAAGCAAAAATTGTATGTTTGGTTTAATGCAGAGTACTTCAAAACAGTGGTTACAACATAGGGTCTACTGAAAATTTTGTTGTTTCTTCATAGGTTGCTATTCTCATAATGGAAAAATTAAACGGAGGTAAAATTATTCCCCTTCATATTTAAGGCATAGGCACTCTCCCAAAAAGTGGAAAACCTCAATTCAATTCCCTTTTCTCCTCCATGGGCCCTGTAGCAGCATCTCTTGACTCATCATCTTGATGATGACCTAATAATCAAACTGCAGGAAATTCTGCAGGGATATGATCTCAACCTCTCCTTTTGACAGCATTTCACTTTGCATTAATAATTAAATTTTCATCACTAGGCTGCTGATGAAAATGGAGGATGATACCAGTTCTGCTGCTTTTACTGTGAATCCAACCATTTTATATTGCTTTTCCCAGAAGTCTTCAGAGATTAAATATTAAGTTATAAGTCACATGAAGTGTTGCATTTATTACAGAAGTACTTCATTTTTTCCTCACTACATGCTTTCCTCTATTCAAAGTCTACTTGAAAACTTTATATATCAAGCACAGAAGTTTCATGAAGAACTTCATATGCCTCATGAAAGAAAGAATGCTACACACTGGCATTGCCAAAATGGCATTTTAGGAAACAGGGTGTTTGTTACCATTTAATTCCCAAATACATCTCAGTTTTGCATATAGATTTCACTAGCCAATATTCCATTTCAGATGTCCATAAACACGATTCTAAACTGACCTGAGCATCTTCAAATGTGTATCTTCCAGGTTCCTTCACATTCTGAGTGGTTTTGTCATAACTTTTTGAATCTAGGTTGATGGCGCTGGGTGCACCTGGAGCAAGAAATTCTTGCCAAATTTCTTGGACGCGAGCAGGAACTTCACGGATTGGCCTCTTCTTCAGGTCTTCTACTGCTAACCAGAACCTATGGCACAACACAGCATCTTGACTTCCAGCTCAGGATAACCACTAATGAAGTGCCCACGTTATTCCTTGCTCTTAAAAAAGAAATTACTGATAACTGAAGTTTTCATCTAGACATGCTAAAATAAGAAAAAGCTGAGTGATTTTATGTTGGGATCAGCATTCTGGTGTACTGTCTCAAGGCAATCAATCCACCCAGGGAAGAAATTTTTAGAAGGCTCTTCATGGGACGGATAGGAAATCCTTCATTACTTATGTATGGGAAATGTGCTTGCAGGAAGATTCCAGATTTAGCTAGAATTAAATCGACACTTCATTTTGGCTGAACCTCAAGGGCTTATATTACTTATAACCTAACTGCTTTTTGACCTTCCTTCAAAAACTAATCATTTATATTCTTGCTATCTACATGAATCTCTGAGTCCTACTAAATCCTAAACTGTGTAACTAATTTTGTTACTCAGAAATCATGCATACACTGAAAAAGCATTTGTTTTGCTAATTATAATTTAATTTCTCTTTTCAGCACTCCATTTACATGCATATTTTTGCTAAAAGTGCTGAATGGAATTACACATTCTCTCTTCTGCTGCTGAGCAAACCAACATTGGGCAGCCACATGTAGCACAGCCAGTTCACTGTATTCTCATTCAGTCTGGAACAAGATCACTAAAAAGGTCTTGAGCACTTTATGATTGTAGCTAACTAGCTGTAAGCTTTATTTCATTATTTCTTCTATTGGTGTTCAGTCTCTCTCATGGCACAAAATAATCCTAAATTAATTTAGGATCCTATTCTTAGACATGGTTCACACCACTTAGTTCTCCCCCCAAATCCAAGAGCTCAACTAAAGTTTGACTTTCGTAAACATGCAATATATACCATTGCAATTTTTCATTATTGTTCTGACACAGCTGATCCTATGAAATAGACAAACTGAGCGTTGAAGTGATTTAACTTGAAATCAGCTGGATTTTCCAAGGCTCACAAATAAATTGGGAATACCTTGTGGTTTGCACCCTACTTACACTGTGGGATCAACTTAAGCTCTTTTAGCTGAGTTCAACAAGGATGGGATAGGAGAGAACAGTGAAATTGTACTCAGACCCCCCCAAGAAAGAAAAATGACACCACCCTCAATCCAAATTCTAATTTAATTATTGCAAAAAACTTAAGAGAGGATAGTAAAGCATAGCAAACCTTATAGTATTCTTGCTATAAGTTATCCCTCACTTCCTCTCAGGAAGCAATTATTCTTTTACAGTCCTGTTTTGAAATTTCCAAGTAGCAGAGATGGAAGGAGCCTGTGTTCCTTTTCCACAAGCCAGTATGGTTAGCTTCATGCTACCAAGAAGACTATCTTAGATATTTCTACAATCTTCAATTTCAGTTGTACATAAGCACAATATTTTCATCTAAGATTCTCCAAGAGACAGAGAAGCAATATTGTCCCAGTTTTGCAAATATATTAATAATATAATAATGTACAGTGGTTTCTCCAAGGTCACAAAGGGGATCTGTGCCAACAGAACGGCAGTTTCAAAACTTCTGGTAGCATCACTTTTATATATGAACTACAGTGTGAATTGAACATAATTCTGCACAGAGCCTGGGGATGTATCCTGAGAATCTGACGGCAATGCAGCAAGAAGAAATGCCTGATAACTCAAGTTTTATAACTGCAAAGCTCACAAACTCTAATTCAGTTCATTCTCTCAGATTTGGGCAACCTACTTTGGTTTCCTTAAGCTGCTTTAGATATTTGCATTTAAAAGCACATATCCTGCAGTGCTAACTCCTTCAACTGCATCTTCTGGGATTGACTGATAGCTCATGTGTCTCCAAGTCAGGTAAGGAATAAAAATGAAAGGGAAGGATGCTCCTTGTAAACACACATTTTCTGTCTCCCTGCAGACATCCTGTGGATCTAGCTCAGAGATGTCACTTCCTTTTTTGTTCCATTGTATCACTGCCAATAATTCTGGAAGTCACTGCAAACAGGCCTTAGGATGCTATTTGCTTTTGCAAGTAAACTGTTTTCATATAGTAGGTTATACTCAATTATGGGGAAATAGATGGGAGATAAATTTCAATAAATTTAACTTCTATGCTTGCAGCATAGAATAGGGAGGTTGTATAGACCCATTCTTACAGGCTGAACACCAGTTCTTTGATAGACTAATTTAATTTTACCCTTCTAACAATAGCATTCAAAGACTCAACTAAAAATGTGAAACTCTAAATATAGAAACCTCTCTAAATGTGGGAAGAATTATGATTTCTGTTATGTCTAGGGTGCTTATTTCACAGCCAACACACATTTTAAGATTTTAATCTAATCTACTTATCTTTCAAGAAAAGATGCCTGCCCTCCTCCCACAGAGAGTTGAATTCAAATATTCAAAGTTAAGAAATGACAAAAATAAGGCTGCTCTCTCTTGCATTTTCAAAAATAACTTTTTCAAATATCCCATGGCAACCAGTAGCATAGATGAAGTTGAAATGGAGTCAGCAAGACCTCAGCACAGAGCCTCAAATCAAAAGAGCTCCCTGTACCATTTTACAGCTCTCTGCCTCATCAGCTGCGACCAGAGCAAGGGAAGACTCCTGTGGCAAAAAGCACACAGTCTGCAATATAAACTATGTGCAAGGGCAGGCAAGAGGAGAAGGGAATTGCATTTTTTGGAGAATTATATACACAGACTTGGTGCTACTTTGTGTAAGGAACTAGAACTCAAGTCTGGCTGCCCTTGGATGAAACTGCATTTCCCGTTGGTGGAGGTTTGCTTTTGCCATGGAGACCCTTTCTAGCAGATGCTCAGCACTGTTTGAACAGAGACTTGAGAAGCTGAGTGTAAACCTCGCTGCTGTCTTCTACCCCAGCATTTGGGCTGCCACTGCTGGGTCACACAGCAGACACACAGCAGAATGAGGGTGTGTAGTGTACTACTGTAGCACATCCAGCCACATGGACTCCTAAAACACATGTTGCAAGATATTTGGGGATTATGTCCTCCAGCTGGATTACTTTCAAAGCCACAATGGCCTCATGGATAAATAGCACAGCTGCAACACAGCTTCTGCCCCATTAACTGACCTAAATGCAGGTGCAGCCAGATTCCAGACCAAGCTAATCAGTTAAATTTATCCCACAGGAACAGCGAGTGAGAGAAAGGCTGCAGTGGTTCTCTGCGAAACACCTGAGGTATATTCAGTGTGGAAACACTGGAGTGGGAATTATGAGAACTTTGCACTCAGTGCATGTGACAAAACAAGTAAGAGGATAGACCTTTCAGCATTTTCAGAAAAAGCAAAAAAAAAAAAAACCTAAAAAAACTCCATGAATAAAATCACATAATATTTTTCCAGGGGCAGGAAACACTGCTCTCTGATTTCTATAGTCCACCTTCTTGCCCACTACAACTTCAAGCATCAAGGCATAGTAGAACTGAAGGATTTCAAGAATATGACAGAGAAACTCATTAAATCTTGCAACTAGTTCTTTCTCATCTACTCTGCAGAAATGGCAACATTGCTGGCACTTGGCATTTAAGCTTGAGTCTGAATGAGGAATAACTCACAGGCAATTCAGCTTTGAGGATTAAATTTCAGTCAAGTTATTAGCACCCACAACAGGGCCTCATAATCACCAGTGTAAAGGATAAACACCTCATAAAATGTCAGCTTGCAGGGGGATGGTTAGACAAAAATTATTGAGGGAAGACATCCAAATCTATCAAACTTCTCAGTCTCTCTCTTATTTTTTCTGGATAACAAGAATGCAAAGTCCCTTTTCCCTACTAGTCACACATTACAGACCTAAGAAAGGAGCATCAAGGGAAGGGACAGGTGGTCCAGTGCTTTTCCTTCTGTGTATCATGGAACCTAACCTGTCACCACTCTCCCTTCACTAACTTAGGAGGTTTTTCAGTCTGAGAGCTGCTTTGGAGATCACACTCACTGCATAAGGATTTGGACAGGATTTCAGGTTGACAGGTCTGAAATGATTTAATCTTTACAGGCTGCAATTCCTACAAAATAACCAGTTGGGAGCAAACCTATAGTCAGCATACAAATATTAATTTTCCAAAGAATTCTACTGCACTACAGACAAAGGAAAAACAAGAAGAGGAATGCAATTTCCTACAGAAATTAAAGACATTAGGTCTCCAGGTGCCATGCTGCAGTAAGTTTGATTTCACAAACTCACTCTCTTTGAAAAGTACTTTTTTTAGTACTTGGAAAACCTTGTGACTAAGCTCAATAGTACTGGATCATGCTCAAACTTTAGCCTTGTGAATTTTAAACAATGGTCACCATTTTTGTAATAGGCATCAGGAATTTCATAAATTCTATTATCAAAATCATATGCTACTTTAGCTATTTGTTCTATGTATTGAGCAGCACACAAAGCAATTCTTCCAAAAAATGTGCATGGTAACAAGAGATCACAAGTCACACCCTGCATTAGGTGAGTGCAGAATCCAACCTGCAAACTGCAGTCACACTGTAGTGAAGTTACTGCACTGACAGAACTGCTTATGCAGTTTTATTCCTTTGCTATGCTTTACAACACTCCTTCAGAGAGTGAAATACTATTAATCCCCATTTACAGGCAAAGAAAAAAGCACAGAGATACAAAGTAAGAAGGGGTGTCGTGGTTTGACCCGGAAGTGAGGTTTTGGGAAGGAAACCTGGTTATATTCCTGATCACTAGACAATTCTTAGTATAAAATCACAGCTCAAGGTCCTGCATCCTGCTGTGTTCTTTAAGACAGGATTCGTATCCTAAGGCAGGGATACAGACTCTTTAAGACAGGATCTGTATCCACCAACAATGATATTCTCAGATACCTTAGACATTCTCAGTCAAAGCCAATGTAACAGTAACACTGGGACTTCTTGCTATGTAGTATCATTACACTTGAATAGAAATGATGTATCTGGTAGACTTATCATTTCATGGTTGTGGTGTTTGTTTCACAAAATGAGGTATAAGACATCTAATCTACTAATGCTGAAGTTCCTGTCATGCCTGCAGTCCCTGCTGTATCCTGTGTACTTGGCTTGAAAGCTCAAAAGCAGGGTCCCAGCTGCCATCCAACTATAGGCTTGGCACTGTTGTAAATTTTATCATTATTAGATCTGTAAAAGTACAAGAACCGGCAACTGATTTGAGTTGAATTTGTTGCAGTGGGAATATGTGGGTGGACACAATTATTTTTCTTAAGGTGGCTGTCAAAATAATGGTTAAAAAAATACCACTAAAACCCCCAAATTACCATGATGGAGTTAACAGGTGAGCAAGGAAAGTGGTTGCCTTCAAAGGTTTATTTAGTGGTAATGCTTGAAATCATCAAGCTTTTAACTTCTGTTATTTACATCTAAAACATTTTGACAGCCATACACAACAAGCTTTACAAGTTCATGTTTTCTAACCCAAATTTACTATGTGAACCTAATGGATTGATTTCCCTAAAGCTTGGGCATTTACAAACATAATTCTGAGATTCTGAGACAGTTTCCCTTCAGTTAATTATAACAGAAAACACCTTTCCAGAGAAAATTTATCCCCTGCCTGGCCTTTAAGATAATATTCACCCTTACTCAGATATTATATTTTATAATGCCAATTTAAGAATTTAGAGGAAGACACAAAAGAGTAGATGGCATGCCAAAGAATCATCTCTGAAGAAATTTCTTGAGGGAATTTTTCTAGATCAGTTACTTGCAGTTTGCCTGTATTTAGTGTTGTAAATAGGATTAGAGTTAGGGATTATGCGGGTAACAGTCTAGTTGGCAAAGAGACAAATTAATCACAGAAAAGCACCACAAACTGCAGCACACACTGGGCTCAATAGGTTCATGTTTGAACAGCTGCTCTGCATAACAAATTACCAGGATGCTCTTTAAATAATGGTTTTAAAAGAAAAAAATACCTTTCTTTTTCTTGGTATTCTGATTTTTAAAAATTCATTTTACCAATTGGAGTTTTTAATAAGAAAAATCTGTATTTGTGACAAATAAAGTCATCAACACACACATACACATACAGGTCAGGCTATATTTGTGATGCAAAGTTTATGTTTGAATATGAACATGGTCAGCAACTTAGAGGACTCCAACTCCAATTATTTTGCTGACAAATTTAAATTAACAACAAGGAGATCTGTGCAATTACCCAGCATTTATAAATCAACACTATAAATATTAAATACCTCTTGTAAGATGCTACAAAAGCATAATTTTAGTATGAATGGCTATGCTGCACCACATTAGAGTAAGAAAAAAAGTAAGTTAGGATTATTCCAAGTTCTAGAATGTAAATGCAAATAGGATTTTGTACTACTTATTGCTGAATGGAAAGTGATACAGATGACATCTGAAAAGAATTAAGATAAAAACATATTGCCTGTATTTTTGTACTATCCTCAGCTTAATTTTTCTGTCTATAGGAAGGCTGTTAATAATCTCTCAGAAATAACTCTTACTGAAATATGACTTTCTTAAAACAGTAAAACCAAAACATGCTATTAACCAATTGATGGACTGCCATTTTTAAAATCAAGTAATTTTTTCCTCTCACTTAAAAGTAATTCTGTAAGCACGCTTTTAAAAACATACTATGCTTCATACACTAAGAACACTTTCCATCTGATAATTAGTGAGCAATTTGAGAGCTAGATGTCACCCTACTTCAGCTGTGTCAGATGCACAAGTACGATCATATTGGTGAAGATATTAAAAATGATCCCCAGAAACCAATCAACCTGATGCAAGTTGGTGAATTTTATTTTTAGGTCCTTTATTTATTTTTAAACTTTTTAATTTTCATTTTACTTTTCTCATAATATTTGACTAAACAAAATATATTGAGCAGGCTTTGAATGAGTCCATTTTATACCTGTTTAAAAGACAAGCTTAGAGAAAAGTTCTTACATGAGTAATTTGACCAGAAGTTGAGTATGAATGGAAAAATACGCTTCATGTGAGTCTCTGTTAACTATATGAATATTTCCTTCAGCCTGTACATGAAAGCAAGTAACAATCTGGATTAATTGATTCTGAAAGGTGAGGAAAATTTTTGAAGAGGCCAGAAAATGAAAAGTATCAGGAAAACTACAAAGCAAAAATCCGATATAACTTACAAGCTATTAAAAAATAAAGTAATTCTCATTTACCTTAAGTTTTCTGAACTGAATTCTGACTCCAAGAATTTCAGAAATTGCTCTCTTCCCACAGGGTCTTTCAAAGCTTCATCCATGCCAAATCCCCATCGTTTCACCCTCTGCTGTCCTGGCTCTTTGCTACAGAATTAAAAACAACAGAACCTGAAGTGACCAATAGTTCAGTATTCTAACAAAGTGTTCATAATTTAGGCTAAGTCCTAAAGTTCCCTGGTTTTCTCACTTTTTAGTGCTCACATCTGTGCAATGTTCAGCAATGAGCAAACAGACTGTTGGTAGTTACATAGGATGAAGGTTATACACAGAAAAATAAAGATTTCCAACTAGGAATGTTGTCAGATTTTAAAAGCTGTCTTTTTGGTTTTTACCATACTAGAAGCCTGGAAACTGGTTACTGTAACATTTCACACAGATTTATTAATATATAGCACCTCCCATCTTACAAAACTGTGAAACTGGAAAGACCAAAAGGGTACTGCACTGCCCTTCTGCCTCAGTATTCTCCTGCAGTACCTCTGTCTGAAATCTTCACATTTCCAGAAAAGCTTGTTATACTCCCTTACTTCCAAAGAAGAAATAAAATTGTGTACCTTGCCTCCAGTTCCCAGAAAGTCGTGTCATCTGATATCCAAGGGTTTGAGGGATCAGGGGGCACAAGAAAAGGATCATATTCCAAATACTGCTCTGTATAAGCTAATAGACTAGGAAAACAAAAGCATCAAACATTGTCATGTCAGGAGGAGAAGACAACTGATGAGGTTACCCCAGCTAACAAGTTACCTTGCATCAACTGAGCCATGGTAACTGTGTGTGCACACACTCAGAAGGCAGCCACAAGCTCAGGCTGAAATAGATTTGCTCAGGCTGTTTGAAAGTGGACCACTGAAGAAGGAGGGGGGGCTCAGGTCTACCAAGAGTGGAAATAAAATAAGCTTCCCTAATACTTCCACATAGCTCCATTCAAGGTTCCTTTAGGCACTAATAAATTAAATCATACAACCTCTTCCATGCACATTTGTTTTCATAAAGGAACATGTTTTATATCCCTGTGGTTTTAATCAACACTTTCCTTAAAATTTGTTCTAAAACACTGCATGTTACACAGATTATATTTACTGGCCCTGCAGCTGCTAGCACTCCTTTTACTTTCTCTTAAATATAATTAATTTTTATTATTACTTCCTAATCAAAGGACATTATTCCCAGGTTTATTTTTTTCAAAAATAAATCAATCTTTTTCACAATTTTTTTTTTTAATATTCAGGAATTGGTCTGGCAGTCACACACACTAAAAACTTTGCTCGTATCCTGGTAATTTACATCTCCCATTGCTCTTATTTATGCTTGCTGTTTCCTTTGGCCTCATAATTCTTGTAAAATTATTGACAAGTGAGGACAACTATTCTTTCTTTTCAATTTCTATTATATTTAATGTACTTTTTTTACTGCTCAGCAACCAAAAAATTCTTGACCTCCTCTCTTTATAAATAAATATTTATATGTATTTGCATATGTATGCACACATACACATAAATGAGTAGACCTATATGCAGAAATGTTTATGAGAAGATGAACAGCAATTTGTATTTGGCCTTATTTCCTTTACTAAGCCCCATGCAGCTCAATTTTCTGCAGTGTTGGGCTTTTTGTTTTATTTGCTTTCTAGCCCCTTCCTGACAAATTTTGGTTTTATTTGGAGATAGATTCCTACTAGTGTTATATCTCTGACCCAAACTGAGCCCAAACTCACTTTGTTCAAGCACTGACTGAGCTCCACACCAGCCAGTTCCCTTGCTTCATCAGTGATTGCCCTTTTGAAATATCAAAACAATAACCCCAGACCTATTCCCATTTAGCCTCCCTGCCAATGAAAGGTGAAACTTGTAATCACTTGGTCAGAGGCTCTTTCATTGACTCAGGTTTATCAGAAATGTATCATGGAATATCTGGAATATTTTTATCACTAAAAGAACTTCATACTTCTCCACTTAAAGTAAACTCTCATCAGTTATTTCTATGACATCTGAGCTCTCACGTCTCTCTTTGAAGAGCTATTTGCTGTGAATAGCTTTTTGAAGCTATTTCATACTGACATTTTTCCCAGTAGTTATCAGTCTAATTGAAAAAAATAGAAAATGTGACAATATACATACCTCTCTGCAACTTTTGACATTTTTAATCTATGTCTGTCTAATTGCATTTGCCAGTGCTTAATCTGCAAGAAAGGAAGGCAAAGAGTTTTTTGAGTAATTTATTGCTTGACCCTATTCCTATAACTTTTTTTATTAGGGATGTAATTGAACATTAATTTATCCTAGGGCACAAAAGAGAAATATATCTGAATTAAAATAACATTTCACCAGTGTAGCTCTAAAATAAATGGAAGTTTCCAATAAAGAGAAAAGATCACAAAGAGACAAAAAAATGTGCCCAATATAACATTTTCCCTAAAGGTTCACCAACAGAAATCCAATTAGCCTTTTTGTATATTTTTGAGGAGAACTAATACTTCTTCAGACATTTACCTTCTCCAGACTCTAACATCTCAGGAAAAATTAACAAAGTTTTAACAGTAGATAAAAGTATGACCCTGTACATGCATATATGGAGTGGTAAGTATCCCCCCACAGCCTCAAATCAGTGTTGAAAGAAGAGCAAGCTGTCTACAGCTGAAGGGGCTAATGGGCTTAGCTATACAATGAACCCACTCACTGGCCTACTTCCCACTGCATTTAGGTGTTTAATACATGACACAAAAAATTCAGCTTTTGTCTTATTAGTTCTGAGGAAGTTACATGCCTAAATCCATATACCTTGAGACAAGGAAAAGGTTTATTAAATGTTTGCAACAGCTGTTTGAATAACTTCCCATTTACAATAATTTTTGGGTTTATACCTAAAAAGTTATTTCCTAAAAAAGTTCTTTTAAAAGTACATGTTTGTAGTTATGTTCCAAACCTCTTGGTGTAGTTCATCTTCTGTGGGTGGCTTAGTCTCTGGCACTGGTGTGTGCGTAGGGCTGTGACTTCGAATGTCATTTTGTAAGCCATAGACAGACTATGCAAAAAAACATGGAACAATGATGGTTGCTTTCAGACAACGCTTTCTACACACACCCATAGCACATTGTGCTCAAGAAGTTAGCCAAGATCATCTTTACCTAGAGAAACTGCAATAACCCATGCACTCAGATAAAAACGTGCTTCTGCACTAGAGTATAAAATGAAGACTCCCAAACACCCACAATTCCATAAAACCACAAAACCAAGGATCTACTTTTATTAGGTCTCTATATTAGCATCATACTAAACGTGGGGAATGACACTGAGAGATGCTATTACAGTAAGTGGAGATGACTGGTAGGTGGAGTATCCTGAGAGCTACACTAATTCACAGATTATTTGGATGACTTCCAAAACTGCAATTACTCTCTTGTAAATTACATTAATCTGGACCTTTCACTACCATAAAGAAGCCAAGTTAAAACTTTCTCTAAATCCACTTTCCTTTTTAAAACATATCTTCCTGTGGGTCAACATGCAAATGCAGCTCAAAGGAAGTACTTTAAAGTGGGAGTCAGTCTGCATGGTTGTGGTGCAAAGGATGTAAAAGTGTTGAGCCAATCCACCTGTACATCCCTAGAGAAGTTACACTGTGATTACAACTTAACTTAGATAGAGCTAATTTCTTCCATCATTTCCAGTCATCCATTTTGGGCATAATTGTAACATAGAGACACCCTTTTCATGAAGACCAGGAAAAGAACTGCTGTTAGAGTTTATGCTGAATTTTTAATTTTTTTTTCTTTATTACTGACAGAAACATTTTAATGTTATTTACTGAACAATATGAATAAAGCATGCAAAAATTAATTTTATCTTCAAAATCTATTTGTATTTCTCCAAAATCTTATGTGATAGCATTCACTTAGCATTAGCAAATTTGTTAATACTAATTCAACTAAAAGCTTATGAAATATTAACATACGTTTCATGCATTTGCTCCTTGCAGCTGTAAGAAAAAAGTGCTTTAAGAAATCATGGAAATTCATTCTATAAATTTCCTCCACCTCCTGCTTTTGATATAATAACCATACTTACCTTTCTTGTTTTATGTGGATTTCTCATTCTCGAAGATTTTTTTATATCCACTTCAGTAGTGTTTACACAGCCAGGCTATTAAAAGAAAAAGGAAAGCAAAAGGCTAAATCTGTGATGGAGCTTCTCTGAGCTACTCCTCTTCAGTGTGCAAGACTGAAAAATAAATTCCACACCATGAAATTGAAATAAAATAAATTTCCAAGATAATGGAAACCTGTCAGTTTCTGCTTTGGTTTTGCCAAGGAAGCCATTCATTAAATTCTAGATATATCTCTAAGGAGCATGGTTGACCTAATGAGATAAAATAAACAGAATTGTGAAATATTCACCTCAGTTGTTAACCTCAGGTTGTCTTCATAAGTATCTGCTTTTGGGTCAATTTTTTTTAAAGAGGATCATGTTTTAAAACAAAATGGGAAAAAAAAAGAGTTTTTGTTTCTTCAGAAAAGAAAGGAAAAAACCAAACCAATACAAAAAAAAAAGAGGTTTCTGCAGCCTAACCAGAAGACTGACAGTCTAAATAAAATTACTCTCAACACGTCAGTTTTGAGTTTCAGTGGTTCCTTCTCACAACTCTGTGGCCTCCCAAAGCACACAAGCACTGTAGTTTCTCCTAATTCATCTTCCTTTGACACTTCCCTCTAAGTATAAAATCTATCTGTAAATCTGTTCTTCACCCATTGCTGGAAACAAATAAAAATAAGTGTTTTGCTCTCAGGTGAGTTTTATCTATTGATTTTAGAGGGATTACATTTGACAGTGAGTGGAAACTACAAAATCTGCTCTCTAGTGGGAACAGGCTTTTACTGAAAGTAGATTGGGTTGTTTTTTGTTTTTTTTTTTAATGGAAGTGACTAGATATTGAATTTACTTGCCCAACAGCTAAGCTGGACTTATTTTTGCTCTAATGATACAACCTCTGTCTTCTTATCATAATGGGCAATGCTTGATGTGACTGTAAATTTAATAAGACAAAATTTTAAAAGTTTCTTGTATAGGCTAAGAAAAAAATAGCTTTCATTACACAGAGCAATGTTACTTTGCCGCTGGAGAATTTTCTAAACAACAGACTGCTTTTTTTTTTTTTTAATCCAGTATGGTTTTTTTTTAAATTTATAAATAAATAAGTTTCTATTTTAAAGTAGCAAATTAGTGTGCGTTTGGTCATATAACATTTGAAGTAGAAACAGTTCCTCATTGCTAATGATAAAAATAGACAATATTCTTAAGACTGCACCTGACACACCAGAATTGGAACAGTACCTTTTGTGCTTCTGAACAAAAATGGGAAGTTTTGAACTTAGAAATAACTTGCAAAAAAAAAAATCTCAAAGAAAAAGACAAGTTGAAAAATACAAAGTTCTGCATGATGGTCAATTTAAAAGCAGAAAGCAATTTCCCAGGGCAGTATACTGAGATATAAAGTTTAACAATACCAAGTGCATCTACTTTGGGATTACAGCAGCAGCTGGCAGTGAAAATGCAGAGGCTTTAGCAACATTTACAGCCTTTGAATGTAACAATTTGAATAGCAGGCACACTTACATAAGGCACAAATTTTTATTTGTTCAGTTTTCAGTTATGGGTTGTTATGCTTTTAAGCATGCTTTGAAGTTATGCTTTTAAGCGTGTTCTGAAAATGGAGAGGGGGTGGAAAAAGGCATAAACCCCATCCGAAGCCTCTTATTTTTAAAGATTTCTAGCTCACCAGAAGTAAATTTGTACGGACAGATCTTGCAACTTTCCTAGGTAACTTACATGCCAGAATTGTGCAGATTGATGCAAGGGGGACAAGAACTTCTGGGATACTTTTAGAAAAAAAACAAGGGCAACACTTTTGCTGGTTGCAGAGGCCCAACCCAGTATTGACCTTCTACGGCACTTAGTGGATTCTTACTGACACCTGGCTGTTTCAAACACTGCAGTGAAGATGCTCGGGCAGGGGCACACAGCAGAGGCTGTGGGGGCAGAAGCTGGACCAAGGTGGGACTGCAGAGAAGCTGACAGGAGAGCAGCCCCAAGAAGGCAGAGGCAAGGAAGCATCAGGAAGCTTCAGTGAAGAAGGGGAGATGGCTAAAGGATGTATCAACTATTCTGACAACCTGGGATAACAACAGGAGCTTAAGGCATGTATCAATACCTCTATACAATAGCATTCTCATAATTTGATTTAAATTATGACTGGAAGTACCTAATGTAGTTTGGGACACAATTTATGTTTTCTTCTCAGCTGAAGTATATTTATTAAATTATACTTGATACAAGTTGGGTTTTATTGTTCTTCTGATGCTACCAAATTTCATCTGTAAATATTTAGGAATAAATATCAAACATATTTTCAATTACAATAAACACAAAAAGTTGCATTATGTGAACATTTTGCTAAAATAACTCAGCCTTTGTGGGAAAACCTTTGCTGGACAACATTTAATTGTATTTGTATGCCCTCATTAATGTAATAAGTATGTGTTTGAATACAATTATATCCAGCTGTGTTTTCTTTTTGTGTTGTTTTTTTAACTGTACTACCATAGTTCAAATAGTGAGATGCCTGTCAGAGTGCTCTGCTGCAAGAATCCCATTTAGTGTGTGGTATATAATTTGCATACTAATACTGTAAATAGTTTTCAAACGGATTTCCTGGAAGACTTGAGAAGTCTTCTACATGAGTAAATAGAGTACTTATTTCTTTCAGGAGTAATGTTTTGTGTGAAAACAATTTCCCCCTCAACCCAGAGAGGAAAGCCTTGTGACCTTCTTGAAATTACCGTACAGCAAGATCATAACCAGGGCAGAATCTGGTCCTCATCAATTTTTAAATATCTGATCAAAAAACTATCTTACATTCACTTAGTTTTTTTCATCCATCTAGTAGCATGTACTTATCTCAAAGTACAAATGCCCTTGTATTAATCAAAGGACAATTGTGATAAATTCACTGTTGATATAAATGGTTACAGATAAATAATATTAAAAAAACCCCCCACATATAGAGGAATTTCAATCCCTACTTCAATTATTGGATAGCAAGTTAGCATGAATCCCAAGCAGCAGCACCTTCTACTGATGCTTTCTAGGAGGATGCACACCAGGCTTCTGCTAAGAAACACAAAAGAAGGAAGAAGCCTTGTCTGTAAGCAGAGGAGGAACCAGAACCTATATGCCTTGATCTGGCTGTGACCAGCATTTGAAGCAAATATCTGAGAGGATGTTGAGTTAAATAAAAAATCCACTTGATATTAATGTTCTATCCCTGATAACTGGGGCAACAGTGAATGTATTATTTAGGCCCTTCTAATAGAGCTACAGTGTATTAATTTTAGGAAACCTGTAACAACTCTTGGGAAGAATTAATTGTTTACAGAATATGGCATGTTTGAGCCATGGTATATTTCCATCCAAGCACTGCAGAGTATGGAGTATTTATAGTTTGCTTGCTGAACAAAGTTGCATACTCCAAGTACCTTTTTTATTGCCTGGCCATGTAGCCCAAGTCAACATCTGTTAATGCCTTTTTTGTATAAAAATCTCTTTGCCATGATGTAATTCTAGAAAGTGCAGAATGCTCAATAGAGAGTAAATTAATATTTATAATTAGGTCAGCTGAAGTTTTGATGTCTTTTTTATCTTTCACAAAGAAGATAGCAATTTATCTGTGAATCTACTTAAGCCAAAATAACCAGAAGTTTTCATGTATCTGAGACAAATATACCCCTGTATGTGGGAGGGAATAAGCTCGTGCATTCTGATAGGCTGGGAACTGTCTGGATTGCTGCTCTGTAGGAAAGGATCTGAAGGAGAGGCTGAACATGAGTCAGCAGTATCTCTTTGCAGCAATGCAGACAAACCACATACCCAGCTGCATGAACAACAGCTTAGCCAGCAGGCAAAGTGTTTATTTCTTTCTACTCAGCATCAAAAGGAAACTTCTGCAACACCAAGAATAGTCTTTTGAGCAAACAACACAATAAATATATTTCAAATGGGAAAATCCAGTGGAGGAACAGACTTTTTTTATGCTTGCAAAAGGGGAGAGCTACCTGCTGCCTTTTGTGCCTCCAGTGGGGCTTACAGAGATAGACCTTTCCCAAAGGTGCACTCTACAAGGACAGGAGACAGCAATCTGAAACTGCAGTAAAGGAATTTCCAGTCAGCTGTAAAGAAATATACTTCACAATAAAAGTGGAATATCTATCCTTGGTGATTTTCAAAGCTTGTTTAACCCAAGTGCCTGGACAACCTTATTGTCAGCACTGCTGACAATAGTTCTAGTTGAACTAGAAGACCTCCAGAGGTCCCTCTCAGCCTACACTTCTGTGGTGCAGCCTACTCTTCACAAGCTGAAGGGAGTGAAATTCAAATAATCCACTTTACACAACACTCTAACCAAGTATTCACATTGGTGTGAAATTCATCTCTCTGCCTCACCACCCCACAACAGCAGAGTGGAAACAAGACTGGTATTTGCTTCCTTACTGCTGCCCCTGCCCTCCAGCAGCCTGTGCTGCACTCTCAACCCATGCAAACAAACCTCAGGTTGATTTAAGGAAATGTAATTTCACAGTCTCTTTAGCTAAAAATACATAGGTACTATTTAAAATAATTACCTCATTTCAATATGCACACCCATAAATTCAGAGTTCATTAAAGCAGTAAATATTTAGGTAGATTGATTCACATACCTTAGGCACTTTCATTGCATTTCAGTGTCAATACACTGGGTAACAGATTTTTTTTTTTTTTTTGCAGGCATGGGCTAACTTGTTAAGTGTAATTGGAAAATACTAAATTTTAAGATCTCCAGGCTTTCAGAATTTAAAAGACTTTAAATTTAAATTATGGACCTGGCTACAAACATGACAGACTGTCTCTCTCACTGGAAAAGATAAAAGTCAGACACACAAGCATAAAGAAAAAGCAGGGATTTAAATCTTTGTTTTACATTATGTGAAATAGAAGATTATCACAAAAGAGTAAGCTTAAAATTTGAAATTTTCTGAGTGTCAAATGTTAGAGTTGGATTCTGCAACAGTCTATTCTGCTATTTCTGTCATTGCTGCTATTCCTGTCATTTT